CCCAGTAACTTTTTTTGCTTGTTTTTTTTTTTCAAATATTTTATTATTATTGTGTGAAGTTTTACCAGAGTACAATTCAAGTTTTCACATGAAAACTATTAAAAGAACAAAATTAAGCATATTGCCATAAGGATTGATATCTATTATTGAGTTTGAATTGTTTTGGAGAAAAATTGCAAGTTTGAAAAAAGCTTCTACATCCTTCGATTTCCACTTACTGGATGTTCATCAATATAAGATCAGTTTTTTTGGAAATTCGAGGATCCAAAAATTCGGAAATTGTTACAAGATCTGCTAGAGATGGGCAATCATCAATTGAATTTTGTGTTATTTTTTCCGCAAGTAAAATAAGTAAAAATACTAGACAAACATCGCGCGACAAATGACCTTTATTCTATCATTTGCCGATACATTTGCACTGAAAAATCTACTGAAATTTGAAGGCAGGGCTCAGGAATGGCGGATTTATCTCAAGTTGATAATCTGAAAACTGGACTGAGCAGGAAATATCCTTCAGAGGAAAAGTATCACGTAAAAAGAAGACATTTTCTCTGGTTGCTGAACAGAAAAATACATAATTAGGCAACACATTGATTTCAAATTTGAAATTATAGAGAACGGATGTAGGAAATAACATCAAATAGTCTTCAACATAATCCAATTACAGCTGCACCTATCAAACACTAATATCTGAAACTATAATAATGTCGCCATCTTGTCGCAATAAATTCCATTTACACCTGTCGCTCTGTATAAATATCGGTTTCGGGCCGTAAATCATAATTTCTCGTGTTTGGAGAGGTGACGCAACGTCGCGACGTTGTGGGTGGAAACTAATTTTAACCTTGTTCTAACCCCCCCAATATAAGTATATTAATAGTAAATTTTTAAGTATAAATACTAAGTAGGTATATACTGTTTGTTTCACGAGGGTTTGTACTTTTTTAACAAACAAAAATTGACTGAAACAAATTAATGACGTCAAAAATGTTCGTCGGTTGTTAAACCAGAAGTCATTCAATACAATACAAAATCTGAACGCTATTGAATTTATGAATCAACAGTCAACAGTATACAAACCTTCATGAAATGAACCTTATTAAAGAAATATTTGATGTTATTGATAAACTTTCTTGTATATAGGTATATATGTAATAGTTTACCATTGTCATATGCAAGGCAAAACCATTAAAAACTTAAAAACTTTTTATTTTTGTTCGTTTCAAACGTCTCGAAATAATTACCAACCGACTCGCTGGGGTAAGTTTTTCTGAAGTTCCATTTAACTTGCGCCGCTTTTTGTTCGATTCCTCGTTATTAAAACTTTCAACGTATTTACACGCTCTTCTTTTCTATACTTACTTTAAAAAAGTAATTGCGTTTTAATAACATAGATATAGTAGTTTCATATCAATGTAGTAACAAGCAATTAAGTATACTCTGAAAAAAACTTTACTAAGTAATGTCAACCCTATTTGCTGACCATACACATAATCTGCTTAATTCGGTTTTCTATATTATAAATATGGCTGCTCGCCTAGAATAGTTAGTTGAATGATAATTATTAATTATATTTCTTATTTTTAACTTTGTAACGCATAACGCGAAAGTACTGTTTTGTAAATTAGTGGATAAATTGTTTTTGGGCGTTTTTTTGATAGATATATACCCTCTTCCAAATATCACGGACCTCCTAGAAAAATCAGGGAAGTGTCAATATTTCACAACCTTAGATTTGGCTAATGGGTTTCATCAAATCCAAATGAATGGAAAGGTCATTGATAAAACGGCATTTAGTACAGAAAATGGCCATTTCGAATTTTTGAGAATGCCCTTCGGACTCACCAACGCCCCAGCAACCTTTCAAAGGGTCATGGACGGCATCCTATGAGGAATCCAAAACGAAAAGTTTGGCAGCAATTTCACCATATTCACAAACGTCTACTGCAGTTACCAGGCGAAAAATAAAAAATGCCGAACTTCTCCAGCTAGGGAAGATTGATATACAAGAGTACAGAAGATCATCACATATTTTGAAAGGTGTAGTCTTTGTTAATCTAACCTCTCATTGCACCAAATAATTGTTTTCTACATAGATCGCATTTGGCAAATTTCTGGGTATTTGAAACCATGTAGAACACAATGGTCTCGTACGATGCAAGTTGATGTTGATGAATGAAGATATAACTCACACCGAAGAGGCGGTGGTTAAATTTTCACCAATTATTGATTAGAATCGGAGTGACATGACGTGCATACTGTCTACGTTGAAATTCTTATTTGACCTCGCTAATGAGAACCACATCCCAGCTGTCATAACGTTTGATCAGCCATTATTCTGAAGAAAAACCAATAAGGCTGGGCTATATTCAATCGATGGCCCCTAAGATCTACTGCCAGGCTGACCGCCCCAACGATGAAGATCCTACATAACCTCAAAGCCTCCTGTCCAACCAAATCGAGCCCCAACTTTAGATACCCCCCCTTTATCTGACGACATGGCGCCCAACGTGGGGCTCACATCGAATGCTGGACACAAAAGATAATATGGACAAGAAAGAGAATGAATTTTTTTTATTAGGATTTTCTAAAATCTTTGCGGTAAAATGTACAAAATCATCATGAAATATTTAATCTTATTGAAGAATATTCAGACATTTTTAATTATGGCCTTCGCCAACCGACTACAACTACCATAAAACACAAAATTGTCCTTTCAGACCCAAATAAACGGATTATCCAGAGGCCTTATTCCATGAGCACTGGGGTCAAAGAAATCATGTATAATCAAGTAGATGAAATGCGCTCTGCTGGAGTTATTGAACCCTCTTCTTGAGTTCGCCCGTTGTCATAGTAAGAAAAGAAAACAAAAAACCCCGTTTCTGTGTGGATTTTAGATTAATAAATAGCATTAGTTAAGATGAGCCTTCAATCTTGCCAAAGATTCCAGATACCTTGAAGGATCTCGGATGTTCCCGCATCTACTCTGTGCTTGATCTGAAATCAGGTTATTGGCAAGTTCCCCTCGAGGACTCTTCCAAGCAATATACTGTATTTTCCACTCCTAATGGTGCACTTTATCACTTCACAGTGATGCCTTTTGGCTTGAAAAACGCGCCTGAAACGTTTCAACGCTTAATGACCAATGAAGTTCTATGTGGGTTGCTCAATGTATTTTGCAAAGTTTATCTCGATGATAAATTGTAACATACTCCTCTGACATAAAAAGTCATCTTAATCACCTACAATTAGTTTTCGAAAGGCTAAGAATACATGAATTAAAAATCTCTCCCGATAAGTGCCAATTTGCTACATCGAAACTCGACTACTTGGGTCACATTATACCTCAAGAAAAACACATAATAGCAGTACAGAACTTTCAAACTCCCAAATCCAAAAAAGACCTCCAAAGTTTCATGAGCACAGCCAACTGGGTCAGGGAATATATTCCACATATGTCAGATTTAATAGCTCCATTGAGACCTCTACTACATAAAGCGTGTAAATTTCGTTGGCTACCTAGTCATCAACAGGCTTTTGAAAATGTTAAAAAACATATTTCCCAACAACTTGTTTTACACCGACCTGATTACACATCATAACAGATGCCTCGGCTATCGGAATGAGTTGTGTACTCTTCCAACTCAATAATACCAAGAATACTCCTTCTGGCAACGAAATTCCTGATTTTCTTATTGATTCTGAGTCAGATCTTCCTGAGAAACCGGTAGATGAGGAATTATCTATATCTGGTTCCCTTTGGTCATGCAGTTAAAATGGTATTTTGAAGGGGTTGTTTTATTTTAATTACCAAAAAGACACACAGGCTGACCGCCCCAGCGACGAAGATCCTACATAACCTCAAACCAAAACAAAGCCTCCTGTCCAACCAAACCGAGCCCCAACTTTAGATATCCCCCGTTCATCTGACGACATGGCGCCCAACGTGAGGCTCACATCGAATAATATGGACAAGAAAGAGGATGATTTTTTTTTCGAATCCTGAGCCTGAAGATTTAGGAAGAAGTCCTCAAAATTTCAACTTTCCACTCACTTTAGTTTTTGAGTGAAAAAATTGTTTGTAGAGTATTACTTTACAAAACAACATTATTTAAAAAAAGTCATAACTACATTGATAATTGATTTTCTTATTGATTCTGAGTCAGATCTTCCTGAGAATCCGATAGATGAGGAATTATCTACATCTGGTTCCCTTTGGTCATGCAATTAAAATGGTATTTTGAACGAGTTGTTTTATTTCAACTACCAAAAAGAAACACAGACTGACCGCCCCAACGACGAAGAACCTACATAATCTCAAACTAAAACAAAGCCTCCTGTCCAACCGAACCGAGCCCCAACTTTAGATACCTCTTTATCTGACGACATGGCGCCCAACGTGGGGCTCACATCGAATAATATGGACAAGAAATAGGATGATTTTTTTTAGAATCCTGAGCCTGAAGACACACTAGAACCAAGGAAAACTCTTGCCTGAAACCTGTGAAAAAATAAAAATTCCAAGCCGAAAATTTTTATATTAGCCAACGAGATCGTAGCAAACCGTTAGACATTTAGTGAAATCAGAAAACTACCCAGTTTGGGAACCATTTTGATTTATGCTATGATCCTTGCTGGGTGTGCTTTTCTTGCCTATAAGAAACTAGCACCGAAGTTCAAGAACCGAAGACGGAACAACCACCCTGATGAAGAAGCCCAATCAATCCAACTTCCCCACCTAGCATGATGTTGCATCCTAAGAAGGGAGGAGTAATGTCAGCCCTGTTTGCTGATTATATACATAATCTGCTTAATTCGCTTTTCTATATTATGAATATCGCTGCTCGCCTAGAATAGTCAGTTCAATTATAATTATATTTCTTATTTTTAGCCTTGTAACGTAGGTAAGTACTGTATTGTAAATAAGTAAATAAATTGTTTTCTAAAAACTAGTTATCGGCTTACGGATTGATAGATAACTACTGAAATAAAACCACAACTCAATTAATATTTTCTATTCTATTTATTATGAAAATATAATACAAAAACTTCCTATGTAGTGAATAAATGGTAAATATAATCAATATATTGTGGTCATTTAAATGGACTGCTTTTTTTTTTTTGGTGTATACAGAAGGTATAGCAAGCACAAAATGCACTAGCCGTTAAATATGCAAACCCCCATTTTAAATAGGGTTGTTTTAAGTGAAATCAATTTTTTTTTTAGTAGATAGCAGTTAATAACAATTTTTTGGTTATTATACAGGGTGGACCAAGTCATCTTTAAAATCAATCTTATTGTTTTTATAAGTGGTTCACCCTGTATATAACAGATAGATACAGAATTAATATAGGGAAAATACAAACAAATTGGGCCTGTACCCACTTCAAAGAAACATTTTAAAATAGTTGTAAAAATTTTCGTCAAAAAACATTTCTTTGGCATGCAACTAGTTACTTTTTTATTTTCAATTGGACGTGGTTTCTACTCGCTAATATTATGCACTATATAAATTTTACAATTTGTTTTTTACTTAGTTCTTATTTATCATAGGTATAATATATACATGGTGGGGCACGAAAAACTTCCCAGTCAGGTGATTTCCCACTCAGGTGATTTCCCACTCAAGTGATTTCCCACTCAGATGTTATATGGGTTAGTATGTATTACCTGATACCTGAGAGAACCTGGGTGGAAAGTTTTTCGTGCCCCACAATGTATAGACAATCCAAAATAGGTTATTTTGAATTGTCCTTGTGACGATTTCAACAAAAATTACAATAAAAGTAATGTTTGTTCAAGCAGGCTGAAATTGAATACAAAGGAAAACAATGATAAGAAAATAAATATTGAGAAACAAGACGCGCATAAGAAAAATTGACAAATTAGAAAAGTTTCAATAAAGACAAAGACAAATTACAATATATAAACAAGAACCAGAAAAAATGTATTAAATATTATATAAAATTTATTTATTTAACTCTAATGTTCATAAAATATCTCTATTATGTCATTTTACAGTTCTTATGTAAAATTACATAAACCATTATTATTTAATGATAAAAGGCTATGGTTGCTAATAAGTCTAAGTCTTAAGTATTTTTTTTTTTTTTTAGTAATTGCTTATTTGATTATTATAGTTTTTGGTTTTGTCTATTTTAATCTAGCATTTTCGTGTGTTGGATAGGGAGTGTTTAATTGACGTTTTAACGATGTTTTTATTCAATTAATTGACAACTTCAGCACTCCCTTTACAACAATGTTATTGTAGCATTATCTAATTATTTTTGTATGTCAACTCCTTATTTATTATGTATATAATATTTTAAAATTTGTCAATATTAATATACCTAAACTTATTTAGTTATCTATTCATATATTGCTATGGTTTCAGAGGCTGGGCCGTCTTGGACCAATCCTACTGTATTATTGCTTTTGAATACCCGGCACCCGGGATTTATTATAAGAAATATTTTCGATTCTGATGAAAACTGCAAATTTCCCTCGTTTGCCAAAATAATTCACTTAATCCTACGAGTGTATAAAATATTGCTTGTAGATTGCTCTTCTTCGTTTTTTTGTTGGCAAACATTCGTTGTAATATTGACACGTAACAATAATTGCTTTTTTATATATTGCTTTTCGTTGATTATTTTATTTACTCTTAATACCTATAAAAAGAAATTCACCGTTCTCCTTAGGTCCGACTGTTTTTCCTATAGTTTCCCGAAGTAACGCCAGAACATTAAAATACAAACTATATAAACTTGGTAAAGAAACAACTTCTAATATCTAAAGTTTATATATCACTCTCTATACTGTACAGTTTTTTGTGTGTGTGCTAAATAATTTTACTAGGTGATTTGTTTTTTTTTTTTTGGTACTAATTTGGACGTGAAAATGACGAAAATCATTATGGGACAATGGAAGAATTTATATTACTTACCCTTCGGAAAATATTGTTTTAATAGGTTGCCTTTTGGTTTGAATCTGAGTCCGGAGGTTTTTCAGAGAATGAATCACAACCTATTTGGAGATCTACCCATAGGTATTTATTTTGACGATTTTATCATAGCAGGAAGTACCTACAGAACAGGAACATGATAGAATTCTTAGGGAGGTTATGATTAGGGCTGAGAAATTTGGTGTAAAATTCAATAAATCAAAAGTTCACTCTCTCGCCGCCAAACATATTTTCAATTTTTTCATCGTGAGCCAAGACCCATTAATGTTACACCTTTTTCATTTCATCTCTACCCCGTAAGTTGTATTCGTCCTACGCCGATGCTCTGTATATCGATGTAAAGCCACAGGCCAACAGAGTAAATCTCCCATATGAAATACGTTATCGCGGTGTTACACTTTTGATATACCAGCGTTTTAACCAAAACGTTACTGGTGTACATTAATGTTACACGCTTGTCAATACAGGGAGTACATCAATGTTACACTCGGCAGCGAGAGTATTAATGTCATCGGCCCTCCTTTTCCGATTAATGAGAGTGACAAGGGACTTTCTGGAAAAATATTTTATCAGGTTGGCCATGGATTGACACATACATAATTATTTAACCAATACTTCATTGTACAATTTGACAGAAGTGGTCATTGACAGTTAACTCCAAGAGCCGAGAATAGACAAAAATTGATTGAAAAGAAATCTTTATTATTTGTTGAATTGAATGTTCGTCATCGACCCTCCTTTCCTTATCAATGAGAGTGACAGCGACTTTCTGGAAAAATATGTTATCAAGTTGGCCATGGATAATTATTTGACCAATATTTCATTGTACAATTTGACAGAAGTGACCATTGACAGTCAACTTCAAGAGCCGGAAATAGACAAAAATTGATTGAAAAGAAATCTTGTAGCGGGTATTCAAGGGAACTCCAACACTATGCACTATACATTGTTTTTCAATGTTTTTATTTGACAATTACTGGAAAATACAAAGTCAGCAAAATAATAGCAAAATTACTGATAATCAGACTGATAATGAACCCTTCGAACAAACTTGGACGGACATACAGGAAACTGTAATGTGAATACAAAATGGAGGAGAAACTTGGACACACAGGAAACTGTAATGTCGATTTGTGTGGAATATTCCAGAAATTGTGAGAACAATATCTAAATATGACAAAACTTACACAATTCAGTCAATTATTGCATATTTACACCGATAATGTCTCGCGTTTTATAGTTGATTGATCTACGGTCACAAAATTAGTCCAGAAAGTCATTGGGGTGGTGGTTCACTACAAAACCCCAGGCCCCACGTTGGGCGCCAAATATGTAGCAGGTATCGAAGGAAACTCCAATATTATGCACTACACATTGTTTTTATTTAACATTTAACTGGAAAAAATACAAATTCGGAAAAATAATAGCAAAATTACTGATAATCAGACTGATAATGAACTTGATCGGGGAAATTGACTGACTGATTGATTGATGATACTTGTCAGACATGGTAGTGGCTATGGCGTCGCAAGTTTAGGCGTTATAGTCTTTATTATTTGTTGAATTGGAAATTCGTCATCGGCCCATCTTTTCTTATCAATGGGAGTAACAAGGGACTTTCTGGAAAAATATGTTATCAAGTTGGCCATAGATTGACACATGCATAAGTATTTGACCTATACTTCATTCTATGTATAATTTGACAGAAGTGACCATTCGCAGTCAACTTCAAGAGCCGGGAATAGACAAAAATTGATTGAAAAGAAATCCTTATTATTTGTTGAATTGACAGTTCGTTATTGGCTCTCCTTTTCTTATCAATGAGAGTGACAAGGGAGTTTCTGGAAAAATATGTTATCAAGTTGGCCATGGATTGACACATGCATGAGTATTTGACAGAAGTGACCATTGACAGTCAACTTCAAGTGCCGGGAATAGACAAAAATTGATTGAAAAAAATCAACTTCCTTGATATTTGTATCTATAGGTCGGATAATTTATTATTCTTGGTGCCTATCTATTTTCATTGGATTTCTGTGTACTTCTATGACATGTATCATTTTTTAACCAGCATTAGTCTCATGTCAAGTTTATGCAAAAGAGATGATCACCTCTGAAGGTTTTCCAAAACTTGAGACAAAGTTATATTATATATTTTATATTTTGTGTGGGAGCGGATTAGACAAAACCGATGACCACATAATTCCGGAAATCAAGAGAGTTTTAGAACACCGTATTTCAAATGACTAGATAGTGAACAAAATTTCCAGTGGCGGCTCGTGACTATTTCAAGTGAGGAGGCTAAAAAATAATGAATTACGGTAAGGAAAAAGAAATCTATAAGCCTTCAAATTTTTTTTTATTTTTTATTTTCAAAGCGTCCTAACTCGAAAACAAAAAGCTCGGGAGAAAAACTTCAAATACAAAACTTATAGATCTCGTCGAGTACTACAAAAAAGCTTATAAGAAGTATCCCGCCACGGGACACCGTTTTCGAGAAAATCGACCTGGAAAATTTTAACAAAATTACAAAGAATTTCAACTTTGACAGCTGATATCTCAAAGACGAAAACGGCCTGGAATCTCAATAATAAAACATTTTGTAGGTAATTTCATTCTCTTTCAAAAGAGATACAACGCGAAATGATCGGTTGAGAAATAGCGGAGTTATAAGCGAAAGAGTGACGTCGTGTCAGATCGATATATCCTTTTTTAATTTTTTCTCGGCCCTAAAATGCGTAGCAAGCAGAGTCCCATAAGCTTTTCAACGTTTTTTTTTTTTTGCTCCTCTATCCGATGGTTTTTTTTTTTTGGAAATTCGGAAAAAAAAAATCAAAATCAAGAAAGATGGGGAGGCTAACTTTTTTCCGGAACTGAAACTCGAAATATCGACTGAAAATCACATTTCGAATATTCCCTATTTTTGATTGGCTCCAAATTATCCGCTGACCAATAGATATATAGACAGGGCCCCGTGATTAAAATAACTATAGCCCTTCGGGCTCGCGTATAACTCCGGCCCTTCGAGCTCGCGTATAACTCTAGCACTTCGGGCTCGCGTATAACTACGGCCCTTCGGGCCGGTATTACTGAGTATCCCAGATTCACAGATTTTTGTCGTGGAGGCGCGGAATTGATTGAAGTAATGTCAGATTTTTCTAAATTACATTGATATATCGAAAGTTGGAAAGTGTAATTTGTGAATTAGGTATTATTTTAATAAGGAATCAGGAATAAAAAACTGAGATTGAATTTTCAATTTTTTGAGGGAGGCTTAGCCTCCTCTGCCTCCTCTGACCAGCCGCCACTGAAAGTTTTACTTTGGTTTAATAAAAATGAAACTCTAATGACTAGAATTCCCTTAAGTATGACTAGTTTTCAGTTGGGTTAGTGTGACTAGTTATTAAATAAAACTAAGTTAGTATTGGTTAATAAATGACTAGATTTAACTTTGAAGAAAAACAAGAATGATTTTCGTCATTTTCCAGGGTCCGGCACTAAGTTATTTACTGGCTACTTATATTTTGACTAGACCTGCACACTCGCCAGATTTGGGGCACAGTGCTCGGACCTAAAATAATGTCCTCGACATTTTTTTCTAATAAATAATTATTGCACTGGCCCGATTTACACTCATCCTACATTCATTCCATTTCTCTCTTCGACCTTACAGTAAACTATTTGGTATCTTCGTTTAACCCTAGAACGCTTGCAAAAATACTGCCAAAAACTATGCTTATTTTTTTTTAAATATTTTATTCAAATTATTTTGCTTGAATTCATGTTTTTTTAGCTTTTGATTTTTTTTCTATTTTTTTTCAAAGTTCTATTTTACAATAAATATTTTTGTATCTACAGAAAAATATATATGAAAGAGCCGATATACGTTGCATCGCGAATATAAAAGGACCCCGCACACCTCTTGGTTTTCTGTCAAATTCAATGAAATTTTGATATGTATTAGACCTTGCCTACCTGATAAAAAGTTCTCATGGGCCCGAACCAATCCTATGAATAGTTTTTGAGATACAGGTAGTTTAATGTTTAAGAAATGTACAGTAAGAATCATTTCTTATTGGCACATACTATATAAACATCCCCCGTAATGTGTCAGAATTTTACTCCACTGATACACAGGTAATGTCAATATCGTGTTAGATTGATAAATCAGTGATGAACATAATAGTTTTATTCTAGTGCTGCGGACACTTGGAAGGTGTCAACATAAATGGCGCGGTGTGGCCTGGAAGCTGGCAACCCACAATACATGGCGCGCCTGCCTATGCGGTAACGAGTGTTTTTGAAGTATCAGGTGGCTATGGGGCGTTGTGAGGATTCTATGGAGACAGTTGTTGTTTATTGTTGTTCTGTTTGTTTGTTTTAAATTAGAAAAGAAATATATAAGAACACGGTTCAATTTTATTTATTCTCGTTCCAATGCATATAAAATGTGTACATTTCTTCGACATTAAAGTACCTGTATCTCAAAAATTAATCATAGGATTGGTTCGGGCCTATGAGAACTTTTTATCAGAAAGTCAAGGTCTAACACTTCATTGAATTTGACAGAAAACCAAATACCCATAACAGGTGTGCGGGGTCCTTCATGTTTCAGCCCTCTGTTGTGTATTATTTACATGTAACAGGAAAATTATTGAAATAATTAGAAAGAAGTTTTTCAATAGATTTAACCATCATAAAATTGATCTATCAATAAGATATCGGGACTAAACTGCGACTATTTTTAAGAATAATTTGAAAAAACAAGCCCTTATTTAGTTTTAAAAATTACTTTAAAAATTCGTTGTATTTGAAACGTTGCAACGTTCAAAACTTTCGTTGTATTTGAACGATAGAAAAAGGGGAAGTTGAAAAGGAAAAACTTGTTGACTAGCTGGTGCGCAGCCCTCTAAACCTATTTTTTATTTTACATCCCTTAATACATTCTAAAGCCTAATTTAGTGGACGTTTTTGCGATGTGTGACGTGTGTTTATTTTTTTTTAATTTTCTTCAATTAGGACTATTTACAAAAGGTTAAAAAATATGGCCGCTATTGAACACCAGGAAACCCTTAGAGGGTTTTTAATTAAGCAAGAACTATTATAATAATATTAGCAAGACTAGACTTTGACTAGAATAAGAATAGTGACTAGATTATAATACTTTTTTTGGTATTTAATTAAGTCAAAAACACTATTTGTATGCGCGCGCGTGTGGAAAAATATATACTTTTTTTGAAAAATGGTAAATTATAGAACACCTAAACATCTATCAGTACTAATCAAAAATATTTTTGTACAATTTTTCAATATAAGTTTTCTCAAAGAGTGTTTTTGACTTTTGGCCGAACATGTCAAAAAAATTATCAAACGAATAAATAAATTAACCCTGTACATTCCTTAATATTAACGAAGTGGCTTAAAGAATCTACCGGTGACATATGTTAACACATGGTAATAACTTAAGTTACCTGTCAATAATGTCTACCACTTCCTCTATAATATCCAAGAAAAACAATTCCCACTCAGTAATTTTTTTGACATCTTCAAAGCCTCAATCGATTTTTTTACCCAGAGTATACTCGTACAGGTACCGGACTAGGTAAAATTTCTTGTACCTCTTTTTGTTTGATCGTCTCGAGGTCGTCGATGGCGGATTGGGGCTGCGCCTCGTCCTTGAGACAAGCCGATTCCAGATGTTTGTTGAGGTAAGACTTCAGCGCGAAGGTTTTATGGCAACGCGGACACTCGAAGTTTTTGTCGGCCGAGTGGGTCTGCATGTGAGCCCGGAGATTTGATCTGGAACAAAGTTTGTGGTTAGAGAAATCTGTTAACTTAACTGGGATAATTAATAAAGAGGAGATGAATACTTATAACTTCAAAGTGTCGTAGCCACGTTAATAGATGTCATAAGGTTCTTGAAAATATGGGAACAAATATATTTCAAATGTTTACCAAGGAGGAAAATGCTCTCAATGAAAAACTGTCACAGTTACAAGCAGTTCACGACTGAAAATTTCTCTTAATAAGCAATGTTATTTCTGTTAGAGTGATTTGCACAGAAGTTGAGAATTATATGCCATGAAGGTGTTACACCAACCCTTCATCTGTCATCCCTCATATGTCAGCCATCACAGGTCTGTTAGGCTGAAGACACAATGTCCCAGTGTCTTGAATATTGTTCAAAAAGTGGGCTATTGCCACCTGAGCAACAGGTAGGGAGGGCAAGGCAACGTAAATGTCAGTTTTGTCTAGTTTGGCAAAATAGTTTTCAGATTACATTTTTATTTGTCATAGTACCTATAATACAAAATTAAAAATTATATTCTGTTTGAATATTTATCAGCTTCGATACCCTGTATTGTCAGGTAATTGTATTTTTCTCCGAATGACAGTAAAAGCGGCCTTTTAATGACACTTGACAGGATCAAAAGTTGTATTTTTACTGCCACTTTTTCTGTCAATTCGTTACAGGAATTAATAGAAAATTCATCACAGCAAGAAATTCGAAATCCTACCAATATATCAAACTGAGTAACCACTATGGATTCCGAATTATTTTGAAATGGCACAACATAAATTTTATTCTGTCACGATATTCAAGGAAAGACGTACTTACTTGAATTAGTTTTCTGAAAATATGCACGTTTCCTCAGAAAGCATTTCGTCAAGTGCATGGTTCTCCAAATTAAAATCATTAAACTGGGTTTTCAGGAGATTACTCACATCTCTAGCTTGGGTTAGTGTGGGTTAGCAGGATGGAAATCAATATCGATTTTGAATATCGTAGATGTAGTCTATTGAGGTCAATGTAGAATTTCAACAAAAAACATCATTACTTTCACTTCCGATTTGACCGGAATCTCAGCAGCTTCTTTATACTTTCAATACTTTTGGGATTGAAAATTTTAGAAATTAAAGCGGAAAGTTGGTAGCTTATGCTGCTCAAGACACCAACATTTCAATTTCATCCAGTGTGCAGTAGTTAAGAATTATGCGATGAGGAAGTTTCATCAACCTCCGTCCACCAAATAGTTTGAGTTCATCCGTCATCTGTCAGGTTCTGCGATGTGTCAGTTTTGTCGATCTGCCACCTGTCACCATTCTCATCATATGTCTGTCACTAAATTACTTATGGCCATTTGCACGGCTATCACTTAAGGTATATTTATTCTAAGTGGGGCTTTGAATGTGACTTTTGTTTCTTCAAGAGTCACATTCAAAGCTCCATTTGGATTAAGTATTCCTTAAGTTATAACGGTGCAAATGGCCGTAAGTCAACACATTACCTGTCGATCCGTCACCAGAAAATTGACATTTCACTTCACCCAGAAAAGATACTTAGAGTAAGAAATCCAGAACTTATACCCAAAGAAATTATAAGGCTGTTCATTTGTAGTTGCTACCTGCTCGAAAAATAAGGAAGATCTGCTAGGAGTTGCTATTTATGAGCTTTATTATATGGGAGTTATGGGACAAGAGAAAGTCGATCAGCTGCTGAGATCTGCTTGAAGCAAGAAAAGCAGTACCCACAAATGAACAACCTTTATATGTTTTTTGGGGTGCTCAATACGAATCTGAAGTTTGCTGCCTCGTAGCAGTAGCGGCTCAGGTCAAAAAACGACAAAAACCACAAAATTTTCGGACTTTTTCCGGTTTTCTGGTTATATCTTGTAAACGACGCATCTTACGAAAACTGGCATACTGTTCAAAGTTGAAAAACACTTGATTTCAAAGTAACCAATCGTCATTAAACTTTTAGCAGTACCGGTCGACTCCGTTGTTAGTCACTGTCTACCTGACCCCTCCCCACATCCACTATGTTGTTGCTCGTTGGGTGTGGCGGATCAGTTTCACGTAACACTTCTAAATGTATGGAAACTCAAATAGATGCCCCTGTAAATAAGTTTTTAGGCAACCAGATAAACTGATGCGTTTCAGTATAGAGTCGATCCGTGTGTTGGCGCTCGTGGCGGTTTCGTTTTGAACCAAGAGACGTATCTTGACGTTTGTCATATGATTCACACATCGTAACATCACAATTGTCACATACCATCAGTTTGCCGTTCGCCACCAACCATTGTTGCTTTGCCTCGCGTTTTGTCGACAGTGAATTGTGTGGTTCCATACGTTTTAACGAACATTCTTGGTTTAGTTGTTTTCATAAGTACAGTCAGTTGCCGATTTTCTTATCACCCAACATAATGTCGCGGCCGGAGTGTGTTCTGTGTGACGAACTGTCACAAGATGGGACACAGACCTTCGTCTTGAACAAGTTATGTGCAACAGATGCGCAAGTTATGTGCAACAGATGCGCAGTACCATTTCCGCTGTATAAGAACGCTACACCATACCCCAAAATCAACCCAAACGGACAAATGAAGCAGTGATGAAGTTGAAGCTGCTTTGCAATCAATTATTTCTCACTTAAAAAAGAGTGATGAAGAATGTCAATTCACTATGGAGGAACTGATGGATCAGATTAAAGGAAACTTTCGCCCTCACCCATCCACTGTCAGGAGGCATCTTCTTCAAACGTTTGGCGACGATATTGTTGTCACATCAAAACCACCGTATGTTGTTTGTTTCAAAGCCATCAAACAGAAAATATTAACTGACAGCTGGTTTCGAGAGGTAGAGAAATTGACAGAAAAAGAGGAGAGGCGCCGCATAGTCGAAACAGCCGCTGCCATAGTTGTTGAAGATACCAGATCTCAAGTAAATGTTTTGACTGAGTATTCCCCCCACCGATAAATTTCTAGATGGGGTCGATGACTGAGTAGTCGCGAGCATTTTTTTGCGCTGGCCGCATTCCTTAAGGGTGCCTTACTGTACCTAGGCCTATTAGGGTTTATTTATTCAAATTTAGTTTTCAAACAGTTCAAAGGTTATATTTTTGCGCAACATTTTGGCGCCCAACGTGGGGCCCGAAGGGATCTTGAGCCACAGAAGGAAAAGTCGGTAGCAATCGCAAATACCTTGATCAGTGCAGTGCGACCAATATCTTTTCTCTCTCCTCTTCAAGTAGGACTGGCGGACTTCTTGTACAAAAAATACGGTTCGCGGAAACTGATTGATGTCCTGGCATCCCTCGGATTTTGTGCAACATACAATGAAGCAACTCGATTTGAAGTGTCGTCAATAATGCGCCCCCCTCTGGATATGAAGCAACAAGCCTTTTGCCAAATGGTATACGATAAATGCTGATTTCAACATACAAACGCTTGATGGAAGAAATACTTTTCATAAAATAGAAGAATTCGATGCATCAGCCCAAAGAATGCTGTTGCTCCTGATGAAAATATTAAACGCTTGAAGACTGTACCACCAGCAGAAGTTGTGGGGTGCATGGGAACTGTGACACTACAACACTTTGAGAGAAATGATGCTCTGGGCTTAGCCAAAATTCAGATAAATAATTCAAGAACAGCGTTCCCTCACAATGATACAATTGTCTCATCACTACTACTGTTAGTGTGGCTTCACAGTAAATCCAAAGACATTCCAGGAGTTGACGAATGGAATGGTTTCATGGCGAAGTACATACCCTATGAAACAACTTCTATCGACTGTCAGCCTTTCATTAATGCATCTCCAAGTGATTTCGATACTATATATACATCACTGTTAACCGCGGTCCAGAATACATAGTCATGCTGTCCTGGACAAAAAACAACGACCAGCCTCTATACCTCAAGGCGCAAGTTATCGTTGCAAGTAGTGAGGAAGACCCTGAGTTATGTGGCGAGGTCGTAAGACTTGGAGGGTTCCACTCACTTATGTCGTTCATGGGGGCAGTGGGCTAAATAACGGAAGGGAGTGCTCTAACTAAACTGTTCAATACTGTGTATGCGATTAACAGTACTGAGAAGATCATGACAGGACACGCTTACATCAGGACTGTCAGAGGAAACATTTTGGCACTTACAGCCCTGAGTAATAAGTTGATAATGGATTCCATAAATTTCCCCCCTCGTTTCACTTTGACGTTGAACAGGTTTTATACGGTGTAGATTTAAGTGACCTGCTTATTGCACATGAAGAAGGATGGGGAAAGGAAATTAAGCAACTGTTTAAAACCCAGCTCCAACAACTAGGGCCCATTGCAAAGTTGTGAGTTCAATATTTTGAAATTATAATTTTGGTTTTGCAGTTTATTGAAGTTGAAAGGGAAGCTCCATCTTCAAGTCGTTCATGACATGCTTCCTTACTTTCACGCCAGCGGACACTGCCTCTACCCTAAGTACGCCCACATATATTTGCAACACATGCTAGCATTGGAACACTGAAGAATTTCAAGCATTTACTAAGCAAGGAAGTTTTACTATCCGCCGTAGTGAGAAATGTTGATACGGAACCTGGAGCGATATGTGCATTGAGCAGCAGCTTATGAAAAATATGAAGGTTGTAGGGGGACTAACTAGAGCTCGCGGATTCAGCGAGAGCATCATGGCAAGATGGGATGACTTCGCTCCAGAATGTTGCTAACGAGATCGAGGACTTCTGCGGGGTGAATTTTGGAACGACTGACCAGCACGCCGACAGCCGTGATGCAAGACAGGAATTACATGCTGAAAATGTTTGATTGGTTTCAACAACACTCACCTTTTCCAGACCGTCAAGAAAATATGTCAATCAGCACTGGGATTGACGGAAAGAAATAGATGAATTGTCACTTGGCCAGCGAGGTGGGAATTGATGGCAGTGGATGCGACTTCACATCATCTGTTTTTAATCAAGGCAAAACTAAATTCTTGAAGACTCCCTCTAAGCATCCAGAACTGGAACAGAGCGTTGGGAAATTTTTGGATCCTTCAGCCCAGAAAGTGGATATTGCTGCTGCTAAAGAAAAATTTGTGGTTGCCCTGTACGGGGCTGACTATCTCACAACTAGCTTGAATGCGCTACGATACAAGCAGTACGTGACATCTAACTTCTTGCGTGTATATTTGCAAGTGCAACAAGGCAACATTTTGGATCCGAAACTGTGGGGTTGATAATCAACCAAAAATGGCCTGTTTCAACTTACCACCCTGAAACCCCCGGCTTCTGACAAACTAATGCAGCAAATATCATGCAGGTGCCGCACTAACTGTAGTAGCCGCTGTGGCTGTGGCCCAAAAATCCTTTTTTTTCGCTTCGTACCTAATACAATTAATTGGTTTTTTCCCAGCGAGATTAAGTCGCTAAATTTCTGACAAAACCGTGTCAAGAGCCAAGGGTTATCAGTCGGATCCCGAAACAGTGTCCTAATTGTGTCTTAAGATACGACTCTCGACTTCTGGTTCCATGAACAAACTGCATGTTTTGCGGCCGATAAGAATCCCAAAAGCGTCATCAAGCTGCCAATATAAATAAGCCTGTGACTCTCCTAGATTCATTCAGTTCTGTAACGAAGTTCTGGTGTTTAGTGTTGACGTCTTTCTGCTGACTCTCTTTCAGAGACCTTAGGTAATGTTTCAACTTCAAGTATTTTAATTTATTCATCATGATTGCTGTTTTCTATCTATTAATTGCGTACAGCTCAGGTAGCAAGAACCCGCACTGGAAGAGGCAATCTAATCAGATTACTAAAAAGTATCCGTTCAAAGTTACCTAGATTTTCAGTGGGACTTTAAACAAAGTCCCTGGTGGAACGCTTCCGCAGTACAAAAAGGCTTTTACCAGTGCTAAAACAAAGTATCCTTAACCCAACCGTCGCAACCAGGTGGCAGTAGTAACAGCTGCAGGCGTGCAGATCTGTTCTGCAGCCATTGTGCCGATACCTGCACCAACATAGACGAAACAACCAACCTCGATGGCTAAGAAGACGACCCTCCCTTTGCTCCGCTACTGTCAGAGCAAGGTGAGACTTCAGAATGTAATTTTATTTATGCTTTATTTTATAACATATCAATATTCACATTGCTTTCAGTTGAAGAACAGCCGCCATACCTTGTCACTCCAAATACTGAAGAGCCTGAGCCTGGATCATCATAGCCCATTATACACCCTACGCCCGGACCTTCCAGATTTCTAGCAAAATGAATGATATGTAATAAATGGGTGAATATATGTAAATGGGTACTAATTACTTCCTGTTACATATACATAATACTTATAGATCCTCAAGTCAAACTCACGAAACATGGAGGGGGAAGGAATTTAGGGTTGACAAGTGTTGTTTGTGAAGTATTGACAGCACTTTTCTATGATTGACAGGCACAGAATTTTCAATAGGTCTATTTCTGCAGAAATCACAAACCAGTCAGAGTGAATTTCATTGGTTGAAACTAGTTTTCTGACTGTTTCTGAATGTTTTCAACCAATGAAATTCGCTCTGACTGGTTTGTGATCTCTGCAGAAACAGACCTATTATTGAACCCCTTCATTTTGTCAAACAAGCGTTTAGAGGGAAAATTAAAAAATTATCAGTGTATGCGTATATATTGATCCAAATTCAAAATTTTGGTGCTTACTAAACTCAAAATTTGGTTGAGTACAACTTTTGTTCAAAGATTTGTAGCAGTAGAATGGTTGTTTTGAAATCACAGTCGTCTAAAAGTATATTTTTATTGCAGTTTTTAAAAAGTTCATTAAAACTGGCTTTTTTCGAGTGACGGTGGCGAGTTTATTAATGGAACATTAACAAGGATAGGGTAGTCATTCGACGCAGAATTCTGTGCTCTTCAACTTTGATCACTGTGACATTTTTCGCACGATGCGTTGTTTACAAGATATGGCCAGAAAACCAAAAAAAAGTCCGAAAAATTCGAGGTTTTTCGTAGTTTTCGGCCTGAGCCGGTTCTGCTACGAGGCAGCAAACTTCAGATTCGATCTGATCAAAAAACCTCAAGAGAACTTTTTCGTGGAGAATCAAAAGTAAAAGGTCATTCAAATAAACATTCAGTCTTGACATCGCCCTTATACAGAAGCCGTGGCTAAACTCCGGGTCCATCGCATGCTACTTTGGTGTGAATGCCTACAAGTGAATTCGCAACTTTTTGACATTTTTTAGCGAATCAAGAACCAATAATAAGGAAAAATTAGACTAATAATGACTGGAGACATTCTCCAACAATCCAAGGTTCAATATTAATCAATTATCTTTGGAACTTGGGAGTAGTAACATTCGATGTATTCCTGACACTTGAAAAATTCTCTAGCCAATCAAGAGCCGATAATAGACAAAATTTGAAATATAACCAGCAGACACTTTGCTGCAATGCATCAAGATCCAGGAATATTACGTCATTATACATGCAAATTACTCACCTATCGGCAAAGGCCTTCCCACAATGCGCACACCCGTACGGCTTCTCACCAGTATGCGACCTCAAGTGTCCCTGCAGCAACCAAGGCCTGGAAAACTGTTTGCCGCACACTCCGCACCTGTGCGCAAGCTTGTGCGTCAGCACATGCATTGCTAGCGCCGGCATAGAAACGTACGCTTTACCACACGTCATGCACTTTTTCGCCGCCTGACTATCCAGACTCCTGTGCGTCTGTTTATGTCTGGACAAATTACTGCTAGTGGCGTACTGTTTGCCGCACTCGCTGCAAGTGTATTTCGGTTTCTCGTTGCTGATTTTTGGAGTTAGAGTTTCTTCGGGATTGGAGCGTTTTTTTGATCGGCCATCGCTTACGAAGAATGCTTCGTAAGTGTAGGCTACTGTTTTGCCTGATGGAGGTCGGATGTTTTCTTGTTCTTGGATGTCGTTGTTGATTTCCTGATGGTGTTCCACTTGCTGGGGGGTTTGTGGTGGTAGGAATACCGTAGTGGATGCGCTTAGGTCTAAAATAGCATGCGCTGCATGTAAATCTTCTTCAGCAGGCACCCTTATGGTGGGTTGGTTGGTCAAAAAGCTCAACGGAGGATGCAGCGGTTCTTCGTTTTTATTATCATCCAAACAGTATGGCCTGTAAATATCTTTTTTCTTTGGCGGTAGACTTAGGTGAGCTCCGGTCGAGGTGTACGTCATAGATAGACTTTTTCGCTTGATCATAGGAGAGGGTGGTATGAATTCTTGGTGCTCCCTATTGGATTCCTCGACAGTGTTTAGAGTGACGTAAGAAGGTGCTGTAGAGTGTTGCTGACCGGGAAACTCAGTTTTGGTGGGTATGTATGTGCTGAAGGAGGACGGTTGCAAGTCGTGAACATAGCCTGAAACAAAGCCAGAAAAATAAATGTGGTGAATCAAACTTGTTTTATATGAATGTATGCTCTTTTCCAGAAAATAAGTTATAAAGTAGCTTTTTCAATAAATGTTAATTGCTTTCTGCAATGGAAAGCTATTCGGTTAATGACTGATCTAAAAGATGAGATAATGACATAAAAGATATGGCTTTTACTAATGATGTTTTTCCGCAAGAAGATCAATACTGGAACGTTGAAATACGCAAACTACTTCAACAGCTTATTGACATTGATGTAGCTAATATTAGATAAAGTTGGTAGGAGAAAATTATTAATTCAGTTGCAATAGCAGATTTGCAGAATATAAAAGAAATTAGACATTGCATTGTGATTTCAGAGCATAGTTATCCACACCATAATATTATAGGATTATGATAAAGTAAAACTTCGTTAATTTCAATCCGATCTTAATGTAATTAGGCTCAAATTGAAGCCAATTGAATCCTCTAAAAAAATGTGACAATAGGGAGTGCAATTTCGCAGCTTCGAAGTCAAAAAATCAAGTCAATTTTGCTGTTCATAGTACCGTTGACTATATACTTAAACAATTAAAATATGTAGGTAAGTATACCTTACAAATAAAATTCTGTCTATTTTATATACCTCTAGGGACTAAGAACCCCTTCTGGCACATAACTCTTTCGACAAAGACGCAACAGTTTCTTTATAACAACCCTAAAGGGCGTGATTTCTGCATGCCCGCATTCATTATTGATGATATCGCTCTATAAGACTGGAGGGCGAATTCGAAAAGTTTCGGTTCTTTAAATTATGCCGCTCCCTTTTCCGTTTAAAAATTTAACGATTTAAGGTCTCTAGTCTAGGAATTTAAAACCCTTATCTTTCAGCGCAATCAAAAGGGCGCAGGCAAACAATTACATAATAGGCAAACAAGAGCGGGGGCGAGAAAAGTAAACAGATTTCGTTGAAACGACACAAATTGAATTATCACCTACCAGCCAGGGGGGCAACTGGTGGAAATAGAGTTGCTGCCCATTTAACCGGACGATAATCTTTAATTCTATTAGAATTAATGGCATTATCAAACGGGTTTTTTTTTCTAAGCATTGACAAGGTTTCATCATGTGTGATGACCTTAGGGAATTACAATTAATTTATAATGAAGGGTTTTGGATTTTTCATAGACTATTGTATAATCAGACGGGTTTATGCAAAAAGAAGAATTTTTCATTTTGGGGATTTTACGGTTGGGACAAATAGATACTGTCGAGACAATAATTACCTACTGTCACAGAAAGTGTTGAATTTAAAAGTTTCCGAGTAGCTACATCATGTAATGCCATGGTAATGATTTTCTCTCAAAACAAATTCTCCTCATATGATATTCAACAAAAAAACCTACTGAATATTTTTATATTCAACTTGTTTGTGTGTCGATAACTCAATTTTTGAAGAAAACCCGAATACATAAAAGCACGACCCTCTCCCTTCTTCCGTACCCACTTCCCATTTTGACGCCCTTAAGTAAATTAAACCGAAAAAAAAAACTTTCGTTTTTCGGCAACAGGTTCGAATTTTATTCCTTTGAAACAGGAGCGAACGCAAGGTCGGTATATATATGGACGAAAAGCAACAGCTGTCACGTAGGTTTTCGGTGTGTCTGCATAGTAAATTCCCTTTTTAATTAAATCGAACAGATTAGACGACAGCTGGCACGAGCGCAAGGGGCCCCCCCATGAGATAGGGGTGGCAAAATATCATCTACCACCTTTTCAATCGTCACCCCACACTATCGTTGGAATAATGAAATAGCATAAATTTGATACGGAATCATTTTCTTTTGTCTAGGGATTTTTTCGCATTAGAATGTGTCTAGGAGCATGGAGTTTCTGTGGCTCTAAATGATTATTTAAAGTCGAAAACTTTACATAGAAGAAATTGAAATTTCACCATTTTTGAAGGAAGGCTCAATCAACCCTTTAGATATGAATTTTTGAAAACTGATTAAAATCAAGCCCAATCAAAGCTTAGGAATTCCAAAAAAATCATTCGTATCTCAAAGAAACTTGATAAGATTCAAAAAAGCCGAGTTCAAGATTGTATCAGTTATGGAACTTCAATGTTATCATTTATTTCAATATGGTCTTTGTTTGTTTTGAGTTCTCAACTCCTCTTGGTAACTGGAAGAATTATTATTTAAATAATTTGTAAAATTCTAACTTTGAGATCCCTGTTTGAAGTTTAAGGAAGTTCAGTTAGTAAAATCGTCAAGTTGAATTTTTTGTCCAATTTACACGTGAAATCATTTCAGAGAGCGCTCATCCAATTATTTGGGTTTTAATTGTCTAAATTGAGTTCAATGGAAAAGTAATGGCCCTTATAACTACTCGATGGGTTTTCCACTGTTGCCGGGAAAAAAAGAATAAAATTGAGAAAGCCACCATCTTGGCAAACGAGTTTTTTTAAGTATTCATGATGGAGGCATTACCTACATTAAAGATCTCCAAGTAAACTTCGACAGGGTACCAAATGAAATTACAACTATCCAAACAACCTTGCTGTTTCCCTGTGTGCAAAATAATTAATATGTCACTGGAGCAAAACAGGCTTCCCGCCGCTTAAAAAGTTACATCAGTCACCTCAATATACAAAAAAAGTGCTGATAAACTAGATGCTGGAAACTACATTCTAACAGGTTTGGTACCCATTGTAAGCAAAATCATGGAATCCATAGTCGCAGAAAATCTGAGATGTTTTCTTCAATCCCAACTCAACATGGATTTGTAACGAAACGGAGTACCACAACTTGCCTTCTTGACTATCTTATAGACAAAATCATTAGATCAAAAAACTCCCATTGATTCCATATACTTGGATTTTGCTAGAGCATTCGACCAAGTCCCAAGCCAGATACTTATGCTAAAACTGAATAGTTTTGATATGAAGGGGGATTTACTGCTTTGGACCAAAGACTATCTTACAAGTCAGAGTTGGCGAATCATATTCTGAACGCTATCTATTACAAAGTGGCGTACCCCAAGGCTCGGTACTTGCACTTCTGTTGTTTGTAAGTTACACTATAGATCTCCTCAACCTAATAGTATCAACATGTGCAGCGTTCGCTGACGACATAAAAACTTATGATCTAGCCAGCAAATTGAGAAGTGTTGTGAGGACTGGCAACTACCCCCTAACGTGGAAAAATGTGTGGTTCTCTATCTTGGGAAAAATAACCTAAAAAAATGAATACACCATCAATGAGTCAGTACTGGTCAATGTTCAGCAACACAATGACGGTGAAGTGACAATATTATGCGAAAAAGCCAACAGCAAGTTATTCCCCCTAATGAAGGTCTCCCCAAACACCGCCCAAGAAGCGTTTACAAAATTATGCAACATAAACGGCAGACCAATCTTAGAATATGCAAGTCAGACTTGGCACACAGACCTTATTAGAAACCGCAATAGCCTTGAAGCTGTACAGAGGAAAGCAACATGGTTGCAACTAGGTAGAAGAAGACCTACATATAGTATAAGGAAAGACTACAACAACAATATAGAAGAACAGGAGGAGATCTTATCTCCAGCTACCAAACACTCCACAACATCATTCAAAAAGTTAGATACCTGTATATCCTAAATACAGACCAAAGACTCCGGGGTTATAGTCTCAAATTTTAAAAAGAAAACTACTCCACAGTGTGTAGGTAAAACTTTCTACCAAACAGAGCAAGAATCAATTCCTAGCTGAAACAGTTAGAGCTACTTCAGTGTCGGTATTCAAGACAAAACTTGATAGTAATGCTCAAACCAAAACAAACACTCAAACTTAGTTCTAAAACAATTATATTTTGTTCTCCAGCTTTGTTCTTTGTTCCTGGAAACTGAGAGCTAAAACTGTAGTGAGTTGTAGCTGGACTCTGCAGAATTAAACTAACCCAAAACAACTAGAGACCTTCAGTTAAGTTCATTGACAAATCTCAAGTTAAGAAACGCTTCGTAACAGTGCAAAAATGGGCTTATGGGTCTCACCTCAGCCCATATCGACTAGATAGTAATAGTAATAGAGTAATTATTGCTCCCAGTCAGTACTGATCCTTGTGGAACTCCATGGACGATTGGTTATTCAGAAGAACAATATCCATCCAGTGGCACGTTGACTGCGATGTGAAAGATGTGATTTAAACCACTTCAGGCTCACACTCCGAAAGCCCTAGGCTTGAAAATACTAAGTCGATATTTTCTTCACAACCAGATGTATTGGAAACTATGCCTAGGCTCCATAGGGACATTTCAATGCATCTCTTCTATCTTCCCAAGCAAATATTCTGTAACTCACACATTCAAAAGACTTTGAGAGAACAAAGCCATTGTTGTAGTGCTTAAGAAGTTGTTCTAGTACGCGAAACATATCACCATGGCTTATTGGTACCCTTCTTAGGGTTGGACGGAGTTAAAAAAAATTATGTTTTGATAGGAAGTCTACTGCGTCTTTGAGACTAGGTGAATAAATGTCTGCTGAAAAGGACAGGTGGATTTGCCCTGGTCCGAAAGATTTTTGTGGACATACCATCTGAACCAACTGTGGACTGATTTCTAATGGACTCAAGACTGGATCTTACTTCATGGATATTGATGGGAAAAAACAAAAAAGATTCATTGACATGCACGTTTTCAGCATTTCCAAGACATCTTGATGGATCAATATTCGAGTTGACGGCTGCAGTAAGGTTATCAGCGACAGTGGAAATTTTCAAGATCATCAATGGCAATTTCTTGTGGTCTAAGACTATTTATACCAGCAACCTCTCCCACAATGTTTCAGGTTTCCTTAGGTTTATTGGCAGCATTGCTTAAACTATGTATTTGAGTAGAAGAAGTGTTTAGCAGTACAATAGAGAATAGATAGATTTCCTATAAATTTTTCTATATTTGAGATAATAGTTCAAGATAAAAGGACTATCAACCAAGTGTTTTCTTGTGAAATTTATTCAAAGATCTCAAGT